GTACCTTGGTTGCAGGCACATCCCCAGTGAGGGGTTTGCAGGAGGCAACTGATCAATGTTTTGCTCACATCGATGTTTCTCACTCTCTATTCCTCTCTCTTCCTCTCTGTAAAAATATCAATAAAATATATATTTTTAAAAATAAAAACTACTGTAACTAACTTAATTTCAAAGGTAGTTGAGTTTGTATTGATGCACTAAAATTGTTCTGGGACAAGAATCAAGGTGAAGGTTTGTATATCTCTTGTGAACATTTAAGAAGACAGGGTCAATATCCTCTATCAATAGCTCCATAAGAATGGTGTTAGGGTTACTCTGACTACATGTAAGCAGAACAAGCAGAAGAGTGGACAATTAAACTTCTGCTCCAATTTTTGTGCCATCAGGAAGAAGGTTCCTCTGTGAGCCAATTGGCAAACATCTCCTTCTGAAATGCTGAGAGTTCTGGATAATGCACAATTTAAAATGACTAGTACAAGAGCTTCTCAAGCATCCTGAAAGCTGGTTCCTAACCTCCACTCCCCATCCCCAATTCACATCTGACTACCCAGTTAGATAACCTTCCCCTCTCTACTCCCTACCACCTGCCATAAAAACACACGGCAAAGGGGAAAGGTATAAAAAGGCAACATTTGCTAAGGGCAATATGGAGGGGGTGGATGGGGTGAGGTGGTGGACAGACACTATGTGCAGCATCTACAGGGCAGGGAGGTATCTCCAGAAGCTGGTGATGAAGGTTGAAACCCTAAGAATGAGCAGGACCAAGACCTAGGAAGAAGAGGAGGGCAGTCAGGAGGGAAAAAATGCCTTGCAAGGACAAAGAGAAAGAAGAAGGCACACTTTGTGCAGAGTGAATGAGAGTTCCCTTTGGATGGGACAGAGACATGGAGGACTTGTGTTCTGAGGTTAATTCTGATCAATGCTGAATTTCAGGATGAGGTAAATAGGGTTTACTTTGTATATGGTGGGTTGCCATCCAGATCCTTTGGGCAGAAGAGTGACACGTTGAATATAAGGAAGAATGAAGTTTAATTTGATGGTAACATGCAAGGTAAATTGGAAGGGGAGAAGGAGGGAGGCGCTGAAGGCATATAAGTCAGAGAAGGGGACCTAAACCTGTACCCAAATGTTTATAGTAACTCTTTTCATAGTTACTCAAGACTGGTGTGAAAGAAAAGAGCCACATGCTAACCTGACAAGCTCAGGGAAGGCCTGCGTGGCAGTCTTGCAAACCCAGAGACCTAGAATAACCACAAAAGATGGTTTGAAAATTAAATATTTTAAGTACAAACAGGTTATAGTGGTTAGTCATTTCCTAGGCGATATTTTCCCAGACAAAGATCAACTTTGATCTTTTTTTTACTGAGCCCATTTACCTTTTTGTCTCTAAGATAACATATCTATGAGATGTCTGGGTAACTTGGAACTTCCCTTTTTCTGGAGCCCCTGGGGCATGACCAAATGTGGTGCCTCAAATTCCTTAGTTATCATGTTAATTGTTCCTGCACTCACCTGAGTACATGTCCATCATTTTACTTTTTATCCAATCCCAGGGGTTTCCCACCGCTTTGCTTTCTCCCACCTCCTTACTCCATCACCAATGAATTTCATGTAACTCACCTATGTCCCTCCTTTGATTTCAGTGTATAAATAGAAATGTAACCCAGCCATTATTCGGAGCATTATCTCAATCCGTTGAGGTTCTGCTTCTCGGCATATGTCGACAGTTTGGCTCAAATAAACTCACTAAAATTCTTTACAGGTTTCAATGTTTTTTTTGTTAACACTGGGAATAACCCAAATATCCTTCTATGGGTAAATGGGTATATAAATGGGGACACCCTTATAACAGAATACTACTCACCAGAAAGAAAATAATGAATTATTGATACATGAAACAGCTTAAATGAATTTGAAGGCATTATGCCAAATGAAAGAAGACTGTCTCTAAATGTGACATATGGTAGATTTTATTTATATGTCATTCTGAAAAAGACAAAACTATAGAAATTTGGAATAGATCAGCAATTGCCAGAGTTCAGGGAAGGGATAAAATATAACCACAAAGGGGTGGCATAAGGGAATTTGGGGGGAAGGGATGTTATTGAACTGTGTACCCACTGTGGTGGTGGTTATACAAACCTATATATTGTTAAGATTCATGGAACTGAACATCCAAAAAAGGGTCAACTTTGCAATATGATAGTACTTTTGAGGAAAAAAAAAAAAAAAGAAGACCAGAGTTGCCCTCTATTAAATGTAATAGCTGAAAGAAAAGAAACATTTTGTCATGGTAGTTAATGACTACATCTTTATAATTCACTGGCTATATTTACATTAAAAACTCTTCCTCAAATAATAGAAAATGCATCCTTCAATTGTGGAATAATTTTTTCATGCTTATATATAAATTTAAAACATTAAGCCAGCAAAAACATTTATTTTTTCCAAACCTTCCTTCCCCCATGGTAGACTTGTTGGCTGCCATATCCCGCTGTGACCATTCTAACCAAGAAACCCCTTTCTGCCTCCTTCCCAAGACTCTGAAGATGATGTACTGGCCAGATTGCCATTCCAGGCATCAACATACCTCCAGGTACCAGTGGATTCTGGGCTGTGGGGATATCAGTTTCCTCTTTTAACTTTTTTTTTTTTTTTTTTTACAGCAATTATGTTCCCTCCACATTCTGATCACAATTATAGATGTTGACAAGTGTAATGGAACAAAATGAATGATACCAGATTATCTAAAGAGTGCCAATGGGGGAATAACAATTTCACCTACTAATAAGCCTCACACTAAACAGTGGGGTACTCTCAGTGTTTTATGAATGTATGAGTTATTTTTTTAACATATTTCTTTGTGGTCCAAAATCAAGCTCGCTCTGCAGAAAGCAGGGAAGGGAGATATCAAATGAGGCTTTTCTCTGGCCTCATTTGATTAACAAGGCACTGGGATGTAACTAGAAGGTCTGTCTGAAGCCTCCATTTCAAATCCAAGTGGGACCACCACCACTCACCAAAGGAAATGTCAGACATCTAGCACTTGGTAATTTGGAGCTCAGCCAGAAAGAGAAAAAGTCATGAATTACTTATATAAACTTATTAACTAGAGAAAACTGGGCCTCTTTGCACAGATTACTCTGGGAGAGTTTCTAAAGGTGTTGTTTCAGTTAGAGTTAAAAATGTTTTCTAACATCAATATGCTGTGAAAACTGCCATTTCATTTGCAACTATTTTCCAGAGTTAAAAATTTATGTAACTAATTTGTCCTCCCTCCATAATACGTCAAATATTGCTTAGGTAGGATCTCTTTTTAAAATATTTTAAAAGTATGCTGACTGTTTAAAACATTAAACAAAACACATACCTATTCAAGAAAACTAGTAAACAAACAAAAAACCCACATCCTCATCCTTAGATTCTTTTCTAGTCGCCCACCTCACCTTCGCCCATTTTAATGCTAAATAGGACTACAGGGGAAATGGTGGACTGCAGGGTATTGGGGAAGGAGGGGCGGTGGGGAGTCGCTGAGGAGAGTGAAAGAGAGAATTCCCCGAAGAAGAAGGAGAAATGGTCCAATAAACCCAAGAGGCTGATCCTCCCTGGAAATCCGAGGAAAGCGAATAGAAACTGCGCGACGGTATCAGTTTTATTGTCTCTCATTGGCAAATACGAAAAAAGATTGACAGCATCAAGTGGAGGGAATGCAGGGGGCGGGCCTCGGTGGGAAAGGGAGGGGTAACTGAGGACTCCAGCTCATTGATGACGCGCGGCCCTCACGTGACCAGGAGTCGACGTGTGCAGAAGTCCTTATAGTCCGGGGCCTGTTTCCCCGGAGCAGCTCCCTATCGCTGGAGGAGAAAAGTGCCCCGGATCCTTTCAGGTGAGTATAAAGGTGGGGGCTGCCTTGGGGACCTTGGGGTCTGGGAGTCAGAGGACAGACACCCAGCAAGGCCGGCACTGCTTTCTCAGCACCACGGTTCCTCCGAACTCCCGTTTTTTGTGCAGGATTTGGGGGGCTGTTTGGAGGGGGGTGAGGTGGGTGTGCAGAGGGAGAACTGTAGCCAATTAAGGGTCGCGCTCGAGAGAGACAGAAAAACAATTTGCAAATAACTTGTGTCTCCCACTCCCTGCTTGCAGGGAGCCGGTGGGCACCGGGAAGGGAGGGCGGGGTTGCCTGAAAAGGAGAGAGAGGATGAAGATGTGGGGAAACTATAGAGGAACAAGGCCTAGAATCGGGCGGGGGAGCCGTGATTCCGGTACTGCTCTGCTCACCCAGCACTCCTGTCGGTCTGCAGGACTTTTGGCCTTTTGAGCGCAGCGCACATCGAGTGAGGGGAGAAGGAGAACAATCCGCTGGCTCCCTGCAGGTCTGTAAAGGTGCAATCGCCTCTGCTCCCTGGGGGTGGGGGTGGGGGTGGGGGGGATGACACCAGAGCCCCCCTCACCCTCGCCAGAGCAGCCTCTCCCCATCCGGATTAAGCGCGAGGCCCTTGCAGAGCCTGCAGCGGAAATGAGGCGGGGGAGGGGGGAGGTTGGAGAGGCCTGGAAGGGGGAAGGGAGGCCCGAATCTGGACCAGCGGGCCCCAGGTGAGAGGCTGGAGGCTGGATGGATAGGGAAAGCCCGAAAGGGCGGGAGTGTTGGAGACCCGCGGTGAGGGAGGGGTTAAATGCTTCCGCGCAGCCTGCATTTCTGGGCCTGTAGCAGGGCCTGCTGGGAAATGGTGGGCTGGAGCTGGAGGAGAGAAGATGGAGCGAGAGGGAGAGGGAAGGGAGGTGGAGGAGGGGGTGGAGTCAGGGGACTTCTGAGACTGAGAAGCTGGCCTCCTCTAGTTGGAAAACTGACAATTCGGGATCTGAATGAAAAAAGACCAGTCTCTCCGCTCTGGGAACCCATACTCCGGCTGCTGGTCTGTTTGCCTGGCATCTAGTTGTTTTGTCTCCTTGTTTTCTAGGATTCATTTATTCAGAAAGGCAATAACAGAACAATGCTCAACATGCAAAAGTCTTGTGAAGAAAATGAAGGAAAACCACAGAATATGCCAAAGGCCGAAGACCACCCTTCAGAAGAAGTGCCGAGGGAGGCAGAAAGCAGTCCTCCGCCTTCAGAGGAAGGTGTGAGCCAGGAAGCAGAAGGAAACCTGGGAGGCGGGCTGACTCAGCCTGTCCAGGCATTTAAAGAGGACACTCCCGTCAGGCATTTGGACCCTGAAGAGATGCTAAGAGGAGTAGATGAGATGGAGAGGCTGAGGGAAGAAATAAGAAGAGTCAGAAACAAGTTTGTGATGATGCATTGGAAGCAAAGACATTCACGCAGACGACCTTATCCTGTGTGCTTTAGGCCTTGAATTCTTTTTTTTTTTTTTATCTGATAGTAAAATCTGGCCCCTGCTTTCTATTAGCGTATTCTGATGTATCTTTTACCTTGGTTTTACTTTTAATCATCTGGTAGAATTTTGTTTTAGATAGTTTCCTTGTTAACCAGCATCTTACTGGATTTTGTATTTTGACCTATTCTCCAGGTCTATTTTTCAATTGGGAAGTTTCACACAAATGCATGAAAATATTTTCATTTCATATTGTAAAGTAACGTAAGTTGCAAAGCATATTTAGTGTCGGCTCACATATGTACATTAAAAATTCCAAATTGTGTGTGCGTGCATGTGTGTATACATACATACATACATACATACATCAAAAAATTAACTGCATATTTCTGTGTGGTGTGAGTTTTCTTTTTGCTTATATGTATTTTTTAATGAACTTGTGTTACAGACAATTAAGGTTTTTTAATAAGAATGAAATAATTTGCAATCAGCTTATAAAGGCAATGGGGTCACCTAAACTCTTGAAATCACTATTAAAATGTAAACCTCAAATCACCTCTGGATATCTTAGCCAGAGGAATAAAACTGGCCATTATTACAGACACTTGCTTAAGACCTGGTCTTTTTATGGGGAAAACATTTGCCTCAAGGGCAGCCGTGGGGAGGAAAGGAGGGGACTGTTGTGCTTGGTGGGCTCATGTTCCCACCTATGCAGGACCCCGACCCCCACAGAACATAGTTATTTGAGGGAGGGCCCTGGCATGCATGACTCGACCCGTGATCCAGAACCAGTCCAATAGGCAGGGAGGTAGGAGTTTCCATGTCAGTCCTGTGCTGGTAAGCCCCACCCCTGTCTCTGGGTCCTACCAAGTCTGCTGGGTCCTTTGTTCTGCTGGTCCCACTGCTGAGGGGGCACTGGAGCTGAGTGCCAACTTCCACTGAGTTACCTGGAGTCTCCAGTGGGGTGAACTTCCCAGTTTTCTGAAGCCTCAGGCTCCTTTAGAATGACACAACACAGGTGGGGATTGTCCCAGGAATACTTGGGTCAGTGTTTTGCAGTTCTTAGCAAAACAGCCTCTTTTGGTTTTTAGTCCCACCCACCCCCCCTGCCCCCTTCTCCATAGGAGTCAGGCATAACGAGTCCATTTGGGGAGTTGGACCAGGTACAAGGGTAAGTGAAAAATGCTGTCATCTGAGTTGCTGCCCTAGATCTGAGGACTAAGATATTTGTCTTCTGTGAAATCATCTGATCCTGAAGGCTCCTGGCAGGCCTGCCTTCCTAGTTCAGAAGACTCGCATAAATGGCACAAAGCAATATAGGAAAGAGATTTAAGGGGAAAGCCTCCTTTACCTCATCCCATCCCCAATTGAAATGTGAAAAAAACTTGCAAAGGCAGTAAGAATTTTATAAATGCACTTGAAGTCAAAAGGCTACTATGTAAATGTTAGGAATTATACTTCCCTTACAGATCAAACAATGACATCTTCTGATGTTCCCACATGTGGTTAACTGACACATTATGTTTTAATATTGATTTCTTTTTTTTTTTTTTTTAAAGATCCAGTCAAAGTTCAGATTTCCATCAGGACCCAAACAAAATCCTCCTCTTGCATTTGTTATTATGTCTCTTTAAAAAAGAGAGGGGAAAAAAACACTATATATATATATATATATATATATATATATATATATATATATATATATATATATATATTGATTTCAGAGAGAAAGGGAGAGAGAGAGAGAAACATCAATGATGAGAATCACTGATCGGCTGCCTCCTGCATGCCTCCTACTGGGGATCAAGCCTGCAACCCAGGCATGTAACCTTGACCAGAATTGAGCCCGAGACTCTTCAGTCAGCAAGTCAATGTTATATCCACTGAGCCAAACTGGCTAGGGCATTGATTTCTTTTTTAAGCCTCACCTGAAGATATGTTTTTTTTCTTTATTGATTATTACATATGTGTCCTTATTCCCCTCATTACTCATGCCCTCACTCCCCTAGTGTCTGTGTCCATTGGTTAGGATTATATGCATGTATGCAAGTCTTTTGGTTGATCTCTCCCCTTTACCTCCACCCTCCCCTACCTTCCTCTGTGGTTTGACGGTCTGATTGATGTTTCTCTGTCTCTGGATCTGTTTTTGTTCATCAGTTTATGTTGTTCATTATATTCCATAGATGAGTAAGATCATGTGATATTTATCTTTCTCTGACTGGCTTATTTCTATTAGCATAATGCTCTCCAGTTCTATCCATGCTGTTGCAAATAATAAGAATTCCATCTTTTTTACTGCAGTGTAGTATTCCATCGTGTAGATGTATCATAGTTTTTTAATCCACTCATTTGCTGATGGGCACTTAGGCTTTTTCCAAATCTTAGCTATGGTGAATTGTGCTGCTATGTACATAGGAGTACAGAAAACCATAAAAATCTTAGAGGAGTCCACAGGCAGCAAAATCTCAAACATATGCTGAAGCAATTTCTTCACCGATACAGCTCCTAGGGCAATGGAAACTAAAGAGAAAATAAACAAATGGGACTACATAATAATAAAAACCTTCTGCCCAGCAAAAGAAACCATCAACAAAACAACAAGAAAGCCCACTGCATATGAGAATATATTTGCCAATGCTATCACTGTAAAGGTTTAATCTCCAGCATTTATAGGGAACTCATATAACTTAACAGAAGGAAGATAAACAACCCAATCAAAAAATGGGCAACTGAGCTAAATAGATACTTTTCGAAAGAGGACATAAGGAAGGAAAAGAGACACATGAAAACATAATTAAAGTCACTAATAATCCGAGAGATGCCAATCAAAATGACAATGTGGTACCATCTCACACCTGTCAGAACGGCTATCATCAACAGATCAACAAATTACAAGTGCTGGCGAGGATGTGGAGAAAAAGGAACCCTCGTGCACTGCTGGTGGGAATGCAGACTGGTGCAGCCACTGGGGAGAACAGTATGGAGTTTCTTCAAAAAACTGAAAATGGAACTCCCATTTGATCCAGTGATCCCACTTCTAAGAATATCCCAAGAAACTAGAAACACCAATCTGAAGATATGTGTGTTTTTTTTAAAAAACATGTTTTTATTGATTTCAGAGAGGAAGGAAGAGGGAGAGAGAGACAGAAACATCAATGATGAGAGAGAATCACTGATGGGCTGCCTCCTGAATGCCTCACACAGGATCAAACCTGCAGCCCGGGCACGTGCCCTGACCAGGAATCAAATCGTGACCTCCTGGTTCATAGGTCAACACTCAACCACTGAGCCACGCTGGCCAGGCAAGATATGTGTTTTTTTTTTTTTTTTAAGTCAATAGACTTTAGAGAGAAAAGGAAAGAGAGAGGGGGGGGAGAGAGAGAGAGAGAGAGAGAGAGAGAGAGAGAGAGAGAGAGAGAGAGAGAGAGAGAGAGAGAGAGAGAGAGAGAGAGAGAGAGAGAGAGAGAGATCAATGTGAGAGAGAAACCGATCAGTTGCAGCTGCCTCCAGAATGTGCCCTGACCATGGGTCAAACATGCAGCCTGGGTATGTGCCCTTACTGGGAATCAAACCTGTGACCCTTTGGTGCATGCAATGATGTTCCAACCAACTGAGCCACACCAACCAGGGCTTTAATTAATTCTTAATTAATTTCTTGATTATTAACAGGGAAATAGTAGGTTTGCCCAAATTCTGCTATTGTTGCAATAATCTTACACAAATCATTTTTTTTCTCTCTAGTATTGTGACAAGCAATTCCAGAAAGAAACTGGAATGAATTGCACTCCTAATGTTTTATCAAAGTCTTGCATAATTATCTGCATCAGACTTGCCTGGGGAACATCTTTAAAATACTGATTTCTGGGCCCTATTCACTGACTAAAAGTGGACTGTAGAAGTAACAGTTCACAAGTTCCTGCAAGTGGTTATAATACGTGCTGAAGTGTGAGGACAACTGGTTTATGCTGTATGCTTTCCATTATTACAAATCCAAACCGTAAAATAATTAGAAGAAAATATTGGTGAATATTTATTGAAATTCAGGAAGTAGAATTCTATAACATCATTTATTTTTTAGTGTGAATTTTTAAAAGAAAAGATTGAGTGATTGATTGATTTATACATAAAGTTTCAGATTCCCTTTAACAAAGAAAGACAAGATAAAAAGCCAAATGAAAGAATGTAACACATAATGTTTTTGTTTTTTGGTCAGTACACCATGTTTGGACATGATTAACTTTTCATAATGTCAGTAAAATATATCCAAATTATCTTTTTTGTGATCAGCTCACAAAACAGTGAGCCAGCCGTGTATCCCCTTTTCACTGTGGGATGCCATTTTGGGGAATTTTTAAGTCTCCAGTCTTCAAGGTTATGAAAGCCTGGTAGATGCTGGTGGGGCGGGAATTCCAGCTGGAGTGAGATGAGGGTGCAGGGGCTCACTGTGGCAGCTTTACAGACAGGATGCTCCGAGGATTAGAAGGACTCACCCCAACCACAATCATCTCCAGGGTGTCTGGCTTTGGCTTCTCTGCTCCAACCTGCAGCAGGCATCAGGCCCTCCTAGGCTGATGGCCAGGCAGACCTGGACATATTAGTACCCTGTTTCCCCGAAAATAAGACAGTGTCTTATATTAATTTTTGCTCCCAAAGATGCACTAGGTCTTATTTTCAGGGGATGTCTTATTTTTCCATGAAGAAGAATACGGTACACATTTATTGTTAAATGAAAATAAAGGAAATTTATTACCTGTATACGGTACAGTAGTATGGTAGTTGTCAACACAAACCAGACAAACTGTGAATCCTACAGTATCAAGAATTTATTCATTTATTCAATGACAATCATGTCATCATCTTCTGGAACATCACCATAACAATCCAATTCCTGAATTTCCTGCTGAATTTCTTGTGACTCCATTTCTTTAAGAATCAGTGGACCAAATCTCTTATGTTTAGCAATAGCACTGTCTTTAAATGAGTACTTCTTGCCGGGACCAGTTTGGCTCAATGGATAGAGT